AAACAAACTCTGATTTTAATCTTTCAATCTGAACGATGAGATTTTTTGTGAGATGTTTCCTGTCACTTTGATAGTACCTCATTGTCTTATTTGTCATTATACGTGAAAGTTTACGATTAGCATAGAAATGACAGTGTACGAATTGTCAAAACATATTGAATGCTAGCAACTATTTGAATGATTTCTGAACAAAATGGCACAGGTCCGAATGGAAAACTCACTCACCAGAGATTGCCACAGAAGGTCTAGGAAGTAGATGGTGTCGATGAGATCCAAGCAAACGACAGTGATCAGATAAACGATATACGTTTGTCGACTACTGAATACCGGAGTATAGTGATGTGATTCCAGCAGAAACAGAAAGATCAAGGCGCTCAGTGCTAAATTCAGGCGGAACAGATGATCATCGAAGATTTTGTCGTTATTATCCATTGGATTGGGTGGTAGCTGCAATATTATAGCTTCTTTTTGAATGACCTTCACAATAATCATTATGAATTTGTAGCTTCTATTACAAAATCATGTCGACACTCGTGTTGATCTCATCACTATTTAGAATGTAAAACAGTGACATGAATTCATTTCTTGAATTCATTTGTATTCTCTTCTCATTTCCGATACTTTCCTGTCGCTAGCTGATTCGCAAGTGAACCCATCTGAACAATGATAATGCAACATAGGCGATAGTGATTGGTTGTCTGCAGGATGATCAAGCGGAATGTTTCAGACAAAATAAGGTTGATTTCTTAAATTGTTGAATTCAATCATGAATGGTCGATACCTGATGATGGAAAAGACGGAAACACGCTGCAATTTTACCAACGAGAACGGCTGAATACGCGAACCATCCAACCCATGCGTATTTCACTTTAGCATCTAAAACATAAACTAATCGAGCCGGAAGTCTGAAGTGTTGTAGCGATGAATTTCATCCGTTTCTCAGTGGATGCGTGAATAAATGTATGAAATGCATTATGATAAGTTTGATGCTGATTTGGATGAGACGAAATTCCCGATGAATAGTCATTCGGTTATCAGCTTCGAAAAAACGAACAATATGTTATAATTTGCTTTGTTGCGGGACGAGGTCTGCATTCAATGAAATTTTAGAGCTTGTTATATTATTGATAAGTGAGGAATAGTAATATGATCTTATTGCCCTCTAAATAGTCTGGAATGGAGGAATTGTATGAAGTGTGCAGTTCCACGGTTGATCATTTGTCAACTTTCTGCAGATCTTCGAGAAATTCCTTCTCATCAGTATCCTCACACTTGCAATCTCTTGAAATTGGTATTATTTTAGTAAATGAACAGGAATATTCACCTGCAGATGAAGCTTCTTCCATTTTCTCCTGATTGTTTCGGACAGCAAGTACCAGTAGCCATATGAGAATGATGATCACCAACGAATCGACGCCTAGCCATGCGTACCAGATTTTGTCTTTCAGTACAGTCAAATAGTAGAAATCAATTAAGCCCAATTGCAAAATCACCAATGCGATGCATACAACAAATGCAAATACGTCAAGGCAGCCGCGTATGAAAGGACCTGAAAAGGTGTTAACGTTTTGTGACGGATATGGTGGATATTTTTGATGTTCAACAAAATATTGTTCCAGTCGCACTTCACCATAAACGAATAGTAAGACATGAATTTCGAAAAACTTTCCCAATCGATCGTCGTATACACTATGTTTTGTTTATATTATATGCGCATTATAGTCTGAATGAGAGGAATTGCGATTAGAATTACAAAAATTTAACCTGGAACAACGCCCATATTAGATGCGATTGGATAGTAGTTGCGTTTCGATGTGTCTTCGTTGATGCTTCGTGACAGATACGGCAATTCGTCGTCTGTGGATCCGCCGTAGAAGTTGTCGTGTTTCACGAATTCGTCAGCCTGTTCCTCAACTACGTCTTCGGTCAGATGACGTCGTTCAGGATTATCGTCGTATTCTTCGTATGAATGATCTTCAAATTGATCAGTGATTAATGAGGTGCGCTGCAGAATATTTACATGAGTATCCAATAGAAGCATTATAGCTTGACGTGAATGATGAAACAAATGTACGAAAAAATATGGAATACAACAAGGGCGATAAAGTACTTGTTTATGAATTTATTTGAAATTGCATAGAATTGCTCCTCTTTGAGTGTTTTTGTCAATTGCAATCAGGTATAATAATCGGACTTTACATTGAGGATAGTGAATTGATGAGACTTTCAATTTTTTTGAGCAGTATCGAACATGATCACACGATTACATTTTACTCCAAACTGATTGGTTCACGTATCAATCAGATTATTACTATCGTTGCTATGAGCCAGATGTGAGCGCGAGCGAGTATAATAAAACAAGTGAAAACGATGATTGAATGAATGAATGCAAGAAGCGATCGTGTAGGAAGAGTTATTGGCAAATGAATTGCTGACTGATAGTATATGTTGATGGGCTGATAGTTGCTTGATGGATAATAATGATAAAGACAGAGTTGATCTAATAATGATGACTTGTTTGTTGTTCGGTTTGTGGATGAATGGATGTCGGTCGATTCAGCTGTGTTCTAAGTACTTGTGCAGAGAAAAAATAACAAATTGAATGAATGCTGAAAGTTTTCGTTTTTCTCATCTTTTTCTTTACTACTAGTGTACTCTTTTTCGATCGTTAATGCAACAAATCGAATCGAACCGAGTCCTGATTTGGACACCATTTGCGATTGAAACAGGCTAATTTTCATTGAGAAACACATGCTTCACTAAAGCCAATTGCCTTACAGAGTTGCTGCTTGTCGTCACTATTTCAGAGTCAATATTAGCAATACAGCTAGCTAGTGGGCAAACTAAAGAGTTGTTGAATTGAAAATTAAAAGGACATCAGCGGCGGCTATCAACCGTTAGCCAGTGAGGGGTTTTGAACTAAACCAAACAACCGTCAGTAGTGGAATGAGTGAATCCGCAACTAGATTAAAGCCAAAATCGATAAATTATATGGATGTTAAAAAATCCGCGAAGAATATGGACGACATTCAGATGTTTTGCTCGAATGGGAAAGCCTAGCAAAAGGTGTACGTACGTAAACAATAATATAAATGATTCGTTTCCGAGAGTGATAATGAAGCAACATATAATGCACAAAAGCACAGAAACAATACGAATAGTAATTACACGTGAGAGCTTTAGGGGCAATTATTGAAGAGTGGTATTACTTGAGAGATCATATTGGGCACTCTGTGAGCTTTAGTAATCAACCGAACAGAATAGAACAGAACAGGACAACATCGGATGTGTGTATGTGTGCTGTGTTTGTGACCCCCTAACTCTGCGCATAGAACGATAGGGACGAAAGAGGATTGAATTGTAACGCAACAGCATTACCGGGTGAGGATGCTTTGACGAACGGACGCTGAGTACTGCACGTTGGTTTCGATTGTAATTAATTCTAGTCACACATATATGTGCCATACAGATGGACAAGTACTGGGCTTGGGTCAGCCGCTCGCTAAGGTCAATCGATCTTATTAACGAATGCATATAATAGGACATGATCGTTAATTATATATAACTACATGCATATATCAATTCTGTTGTATTCATAACAGTGATTAAGTGTATTTTGTCGAATTGCATGAAATTTCTGATTTGATTTTACACTTATCAGTAGGTTTTTTGGGGCTTCCAAAAGAAGTATGAATGCTGGCAAAAGGCCTCTTCAGTTCTGCTTGAAAAAGTAGAAAATGCACAAAGATTGCTTCGAATGAAAAAGCAAATGATGGAATGTG